TTATATATATATATTTTTGTTATTGTCATCAAAAAAAAAAAGTGGTGACAGCATTGAGGTGAAGACAGTATTTGGAGGCATATGTCAATAAGAGAAATAAAATGAGCAGCATCAAAGACAAATACAGTAAATATAGATTTGTAGTGTCTTGTCTAAGTCAAACAGAGGTATTTTTTTATTTAAGTAGATTGGTGTGTCTGTGAATATGATTGTGCTGGTTTGTGTGTTGAAAGGGGGCTGACAACTCAGATTAAGAGTCTAAATCCAACACGCTCCTGGATACCTGAGCAGAAATACTTAAAAGAAAATGTTTTACATTAAAATGGTTGAAAATTGAAGACATTTAAAACCACTGCACATTTTTCTCAGACCATTTTAGGTATTGCATATCATAAATCTAAGACAAGTTTATGCTACAGCTTACTGTAATTTAAAATTGCACCCACCAAACCAATAAAATCTCACTATAACTTCTTTCTTCTAAATGAAAACCTTTGGATATAGGTCTCTTTAGCTGGAGTCAAAAAAGTGCTACAGCAACAGCTGTGAGGTGAATGTACATGCCAAGTGTTGTCCTGCAGTTTGTAACTGAAGAAGCTTTTTGAGCTGTGTGAAAGAAAAAGCAAAAAATATTTTGTCACTTTAAATGTTTAAGATTGCAAATAATAAACTGAAATCACAGCAGTCTCTTCTTCTTCTGGATTTTCCCTCTTCAGGGGTCACCACAGCGAGTCATCCTCCTCCATCTCACTCTGTCCTCACTCCACCTCTTTGTATCCTACATCTCCTCTTTGTCTTTTTCCTGGCAGCAGCATTTCTAACATCCTTCTACCAATTTACTACTACTACTACTACTACTACCGTCTCTCCTCCGGACATGTCCAAACCATCTTAGTCTGGCCTCTCAAACAATTTTTTAATCCGTCCAGAGAACCTGACTCAATTTTGTTAGATGAGGTAGAGCTTCGTTTCTGAGCCGTGCACCACCAAGGCAAGTAATGTAGGGGAAACACTGGTCTAAAACAGCAGACTACTAACAGAATAACAAGCCATCTGGATGCTATACCTTAAGAGAGCTGCACAATATTAGAAAAACTTGCAATGTGCACAATAATTTAATACTTCAGTGACCGTATTATTTAACAAACCCACATTTTCTTCCATCGTTACTATCTGGAGTGGGCATCAAGGCCAGTGAGGGTCCACTAGACTGACGAAATGTACCATCTACATGAACATGAACGCACGGGACTTGAAATATAATGGCCCATGATTTACTGCAGTTCTTTGCAATATCGATATTGCAATAACTGATACCACACTGACAGTAAAGTTGCTATATATTGTCCAGCCCTACTTGGAAGGTTGTTGCATATTTCCTTAAGTCAAATCTGAGCAATTTTTACAAAATTGTAATGTTATTGTGTTTATCCAAGATGGGATGATCAGTATGCGATTTTGGTTATTCCCTCACTAACTTTTTGAGTTAATTCGCGTAGAGCTATTTGAAGACTAAAGAGTTGTAATTTGATTAGTTCTGAGTAGTTTACAGCACCTCAATTATAAATCTAACATTTTAAAACCTTTCAAATGACAATAAAATTCAAGCATTTTCTTTTAAGGATTTCACGCACAAATCACACTGGGTACAGGAGGAACAGGCTCTCATTTGGCTTACATTATTTTGATAATACTGTTATAGAGAATACTGTACTATTTAACTGATGGCACCTTTCAACCTAAAAATGACTAACATTAATATAATAGTAGATCTTAAGTCTTGATCAGAATAACTGAATACAATTTTAATCAAATGAGTTTTCCTTCTTTCCTATTCATTTATTTCAAGGAAAGTTATTTAATGCTACTTTTAATTATTTAAAGCCAGGTTATTAGTCTTAATTTGGCTGCTCCCTTCTTCAGGGGTCGCCACAACGAACTAACTCGCACAAAGACTTGACATTTATTTTGATGCCGGATGCCCCTCCTGGTGCAACCAGCGAGCTACCTCAGCCTTCCGTGTGGAGCAGGGAGCTGCCATCGAGGGCGCCCGGGGATCAGATGGTCAGGGTTAAGGGCTTTGCTCAAGGGCTGAGAGTGGAGCCAATGAGGGCAGAAGCAGCCAGGCAGGTGTGGTTGTTTCACCCACTTTTTGATGTTATCCATCTGGGGAGTTGAACTGGCGACCTTCCGATCACAGGCCCACCTTCTCTAACCTCTGCGCCACCACTCCCACATTTAAAGCCAGAGTATTAATACTAATAAATCTGCATCTCTTGAGAGTTAAATGCAGTTTCATTAACCTTAAGTAGAAATGGGATATGACTGCTTGAGATTTACTTTACACACAAAAGTACTTTGTTACTGTAAACGTCAAAAGCAGTAAAGAGGACAAACCAATGAATTTAGTGTGTATGAAGTGAGGTCTTCTTGACATCGCGTCTTGCTCCTCTGACTATTGCAAGGGAAGAGGAAATTATAAATCGTAGCATCCCTTTACTTTGTAAATCAGACACGTCTCGGATATGCGCCGACAGATCACTAACCATCCTACCCAACACGGATCTCATGGTGGAGTGATGCATAGGCAGAAAAAAAAGAGACAAAAACTCAGTGATTCACCCAATCACACGTGGAGACATTAAACTCCAGCATGCCATTCAACTCGGCAAATTCCAGGCAGAACAAGTTGGGATATGCGACGATAAAAGTGATAAATCACTGCCAGGGGTCAGTCTACAGGCCACCCTTCTCCATGAGTCGTAGGGGCTGGCGGCTCACCGGCGGGGGAAGCACAGGCCCTCTCCGGCCGGAACTCAACCAGGCCGGGCTCAAATAACACCTTTAGCGAGATATTATGAAGCCCAGTAGTATTGTCCCGAAAACACAAATCCGGTCGTGCTGTGGTAAGCTGCAGGAGAGCAAGCCGTTAGATTTGCATTCGTTGAACGTGGTTTCGTTTCTCAAGAGTCGCCATCACATCCACTGTGGACTTACTGCTACCCAGCTAGCATTGTGCGAGCTGTGAATGTGCCAACTCCTCCGGACCAAAACCACAGAGGCCGACAAAAGAACACAAACCTACCTGCCAGCGCCGGTGCCTTCCTTGTCCTTTGTGGAGTCGTATGGCCTCAATAAATGTCTGGTTTTGGCCTGGACTAATGACCAGTGTTTGTCTGGCCGGCGGATTACAAAAACTAGCTAACCCGCTAACCCACTCGGGCTAACGATGGGTAGCTCTGCGCGCTGGCTGCCGACAAACTGCTGTCTACGTGCACGGTTCTGTAACGCTTTGTGTCTGCCCCGTTGTCTCACGCAGGCAGTCGGTCTTTTTTTGTTCGGCCCTCGCTGCGGGAGCCAGTCGTCCCGTGGCTCCGTTATCTCGTGCCAGACCGTTTTTCAGGTTGAGTGAGGCTCCGCTCGCGCCGCGGCCTGTCGGACAATCAAAGATGGCAGACACGCTGGTTGCCAGGTTTGTCTTCTCGTATCCCCCATAGAAGCTTCCAGTAGCTGCTCAAATAGGCTTTTTCCTTAACTAACTTTTCTAACGTGACAAGACGACTCCAAGACTAAGTACGTTTGACAAAATGCAATGTCCCCTTTTTAAACATTATGTTGATGCAAAGAATAAGATAAAGATGTTGTTGTAATGACTCAGCAGAAGATGGGTGAGTAAATGAATATGTTGACAAAACCTTTAGTTTTAGCAAACAGAAGTCTGGAAGTGACAGTACTTAATAAACTGTATTGTAGGTCAAAGGTTTTGAATATTATAGGTAGAATGATTTATCACAACATGTGATATTCCAGTTATCTCCATGCATCCATGTATAACTTTTTATTAGCTTTTTATTTTAGAATGGCTCCAGGCTTTGAATGCAATACTTTTTTTTCTGTGAGACAACTTAGTTGACCATTGCACCATTGTATAGTGATAAGTGTTACGTGAAAACCTGATACATCAGTGGCATGGATATAAGCCTACAGGTATATAAATTCAGTTTTTTTTTTTATTTATATAGCACCAAATCACAACAAAAGTCATCTCAGGACACTGTACAGAAACATCCACATACATATAAAGTCAGTTAATAACATTATTTATTTAAGGAGCTAACAGATTGCTTTAGGTTTTCACTTCATCACAGTCCTCCCATCCTAAGCGAGCACAGAGGCAGCAGTGGAAAAGGAAAAACTCCCTCATGAGGAAGAAATCTCCAACAGAACCAGGCTCAGGATAAGTGACCATCAGCTTTGACCGGCTGGGTTTGAGAGGACAGGAAGGAGAAACAGATGCACAGGTCCAGGACGGAGGCCATCAGGTGTTCTCTAAGAGGAAAGACAAAAGGACAGAAATCACATGTTAAGAAAGAATAATTACAAATACAAACTATTCATTTGTATGTATTTGTAACTGTTCATTTAATGAAATGAGCTCAATGTGTTCTCCGGTAGTCTAAGTTTATAGCAGCATAGGATAAGGAATAGGTCAAGAAACTATATCAGGTTTACTGCAATTCAGTTTTGAAAACTGAACGGTATTGCAATGTTGTCAACAGAATCCTTTAGGATCTTAGTACTTTGTACCATAGTTGAACATTTAAATGTGCACTGTTATATGTCTCCAACTTGTCAACTGTCTCCAAAGTGCAAAGCAGTTTGATACATCTTGACAAAAACATTGCCCATCCATCTGTTTTCGTTACTCACTTTTCCTTTCCATGTCACGGGAAAAACATAATTATAATAATATTTTTGAGTGTGATAATAACACTATGGTATTTAGTTCAAATTTTCAGTGTTGATTTTAGGGCTAAAAATTGTATCGATGACCAAAATTTAAAGCTAGGTCCAACAATTCAATAATACTGATAGTAAATCAAACAATACCATGTTGACAAAATACATCCAGAAGCGTGCAAACTCTGATGGCTCAAGAGGAAGATTTTCACGGACTTTTTGTAAACCTGGCAACCCAAAGGCTACGAAATCACGCGTGGACGACAACTTGTTCCGGGGTGTTATTCCACCCTAAATCCAGGAGGGTTGATGAGCCGCGCCAGGTTTGAAGTTCAGACGTGTCTATCTATAAAACGTGCATGTTTTTAGTCAGTGGGAGGAAACTGGAGCAATCCCACACATGCACGGAGAGAAGAAACGTTCAAGGCTGAGAGGCGAACCGGCAACCTTCTCTTTAAAAGGGAACAACTACTGTTCCACTCCATCTTCACTACTTCAAGAAGTGTTTATTTAATATGTATGTCTGATTTAATAATATTACAATAAATCTTTTTTAAGATTTATGTTTTTTTTTCCCTTCTTTCTTTCTTTTTCAGAGTCCGCTGGAGCTGATCCCAGGTGACTGAACATGTCCAGTCAGGGTCAAAATAGACATAAGAACAGAAAATGCAGGCACACAATAAATTTTGTCTAACATTCATGTTTTTGGCTGTAAGAGAACGTTATCTGGAGAGGACATACAACGCTGCAGACGAAGGATTCAAAGCAGAGCTGTGTGGGTGCCACCACCCCACTGTGCAGCCCCATAATAAAAATAATTTCTTTATCCTTTTCATATTTATCATTATAATATAAAATATGTGAGCACAACTCTTTGAACATGAGAAGCAATTTTTTTAAAACGATTTATTCCCAACGTGCGTGAAGAAATCCAAGCAGCTGATATTGACCTCTTCAAGTCAAACAAAAACATGCAGACTCATTCTGTGGTGATGTTTGGTGCATTAAAGTCTGAGAAACTAGACAAGATGGAGGAAAATGATGATGAAGTGCCTTCATTCAGAGCAAATTTTAATACAAACAGGGGGTCACAGTTTGCTTTTTTAACAAGCAGCATATCAATAAGACTTTCAGGTCTTATCTTGTAAATGAGTCCTCGAGGCTAATTAACTTTCTTGGAGTGGAACAGCCAAGATCTGATTCTGAAGAAAAACATCTCGGACTTGTAAAAGAACCTAATCCTTCAGACTTGATTGTGGACAATATATAACATCTATGTTATATGTTGTCCACAATCAAGTCTGAAGGTTTAGGTTAGGTAGTGAAAGCAGCCTTTCTGCTTTCTATTTTGGATGGGACAGACTTAGAGACAGCGACTCAAAAGTATTATAACTAATTGGTTTAGTATTAATTAATAGTCCCAACTGAAAAATAAAAACTACACCTCCGCCTCAACCTGTTCTAGGAACATGCAAATTTAAATAATTACCGTATTTTCCAGCATATAAGTCACAGTTTTTTGCAAAGATTTGTCAGTCCTGTGACTTATACGCCAAAGCAACTTATATACATTGTTTTTTCCATATTCATAACGCAATTTTTGACTGATGCTTTAAATTTCTAAGAACTGCAACAGCGAGTCCTCCCGTGCATTGTCGCTTCACTCAGCTGGTGCAGGTGAAGAAACACAGGAGAGCTAGCGGCTCCGGACGCAATAGATGGATGGATGGTGCCATGCTGCCCAGGTGAAATGAAGCTGTTTTGACCATTAAATAAACACATAATAAATGCCTCGGTTCAGTGGTGATGCATAATAAATGCGACTTATACGCTGAAATGACTTGTACATGGTTTTTACCTCTTCATGATGCTTTTTTGACTAATGCGACTTAAATGCCAGAAAATACAGTAGGTGGAGAGGATTCATTAACAAAATCCTCCTGTTGTAGCCATGTTTCTGTCAGACATAATAAATCAGTATGATAATCAGTTATCAGGTCATTGACCAACAGAGACTTATGTATGCGGGCCTAGAGGAAAGAGATCTGATATTCAATAAACCACATTTAATTATTTTATTTTGTTCTGGTAAAGTAACTGTGTTTATTTTAATAAGATTATTATGGTTTATCTTTTTAGAGCTGATTTTTGGTTTATTTAATTTGAGCGGTGGGTGAGCTTTCACTGTCAGTGGGGGTTTTGGTGGGTAACAGAGGAGAAGCAGCAGAGAGGTGTGGAAGACTAGAGAGGTGTGGAAGACTACATTTCTGCTTCCTGGACTGATTTCTAGACTGAACCGTTAAATGTCAATAACCCAGATGTGCAACTGAATCAGCTAAGATTTCAGAGAGAAGTGCTGCTCCATTTAAGGTGAGATGGATCCCATCTCTCAGCATCAGACTGGGTTTTCTCCAAAATGCACTCCAGTTGTCTACAAATCCTACGTTGTTTTCAGAGTGCTACCTGGACGCAGCAGTTAAACGACTGCATATGGCTAAACATATCATCACTGGACAGGTTGAGGATGGGGCCAGAGAACACTACAGAGTCAGACATAGTTTTAGTGAAGTTGCAAACTGAAACAATATTAATTTTAGTGACTTTTGATTTGCGTAGCTGAGTGTCATTACCACCAACGTAGATAACAATTTCACTGTATTTAACCTTAGCTTTAGCCATTAGTTTCAGGTGGGATACCCGCTCTGGCCTCTGGAATGCAGTTGACTGTGGTCTGAGCCACAAGTGCCACGTTTTGGACTATGGAGCTGCCAATAACCAGGGTCTGCTCCTCGGTGGCTATCTCACTAAGCACAGAAAACTGATTTGAAACTTGAACGGGTCGATGGTGAATCGGGGGCTTAGTTTTGGCACTAAGCTTACCTTGAACCATCACCCAGAGGGCCTGTGGTTCCAGACTGCTAACGTGAGCTAGCCTCAGGCTCCACGCTGCCTAGGGGTCCTGGCTAGTTAATGGTTTTTCAACAGCACTTTACACTTAAATACGCTCAAACAAACCAACTGTATACAAATTACAGATAGTGTCAAATTACTGGAAGAATATACGATATGTCAAACTTATTTTCTCTGTTAAATTAATTAGTTAAAAATTAAGGAAAAAACTATTTATCCCTTCTTTGTACTTTTTGAATGCTTTGACTAAATAATGGCATTTAAGGGCAAACACCAACACCCTAAAGACAATAACAACCATAGCTGTTAATCTTGTCAACATGAGATCTTAGAAGGAAAGTTTTAATCACATTTGTACCATGATACTCTGAGCCATGATGTTCACAGTGTGACTTCCATCCATACATCCATTATCTTTACCCGCTTCTTCCTTTTCAGGTCATGGGGTCCACTGGTGCCCATATCCAGCAGTCACTGTGTGAGAGGCAACACTCTGGACAGGACAGGTCTCCAGTCCATCACAGGGACTCCGAGACAAACAACCATTCACTCTCTCACTCACACCTAGAGACAATTTAGAGTTACCAATCAGTCCAACATGCATGTTTTTGGTCTGTGGGAGGAAACTGGAGTACCTGGAGAAAACCCACTCAGCACAGAGAACATTCATTTAGTCTCACTGAGTCACAAAGATGCATTTTCAAGAGAGACTTGTTTTAGACGGATAACATATAAAGTACAGACAACAATTGTTCAACAAAAAGCAATTAAAATCAAATAAAAGTAGCATTATAAAGAAAAACTGTG